GACGTAGGTATTTGTTACTGCATGTGTTTTTTTAATGACGAAAAATGATTTAGCAATACATTAATTCTTCAGTGAGAAACTATTGTTATTTAATTAATTCTATATTTTATGGCCGTATTCCTCTCGATTTCTATTTTGTTGCGGCATACTAACTTTAATAAATACAGTTAAATAATTAATCATTGTTTGGAGCAGCGATTAAGAAAATATATTATTAGGATCATAAAGGAACGCGATCATTTATTTAGAATGATACTTGGACACTTAATTGTGATTTAAGTCAATTTAAAATTGTTTCACGTAGGAAATTTAATTAAAAGCGCACTTCAATTATAAGCCATGCGTTATCAAGAAAATTATTAGAAAAAAGCAATTAAATAAAAAAAAAATGAAAGGATAAATAGCCGGGCGTTAAGAGTCATTTTCAAATTTCACCGGACCGAAGAGCAGTCATGGTCTTAGCGGCGTTCCATTATTTTGGCCTAGGTGAAGATTAAATTGCAACAAGCGTTATCATTCGCCAGTAATTATTACGTTGTTGCAGTTTTCTGCCTGTTGCTTCCGTACGCCTGTTCCAAATCATTTTCATGTGACAGTGACAATGTGCACGATTGTCTGTTGAAGCTTTTATTAAGTAAACATGAAATTCCTGTCAAACTGAAAGTGGAAAATGGATGGCAAATGGTACAAAAGTCTCCAAATATCAAACAGAATTCCAACATCGTGTGGAGAAGCTGGAGAACCATAGGTAAAGTTAGTATTAGTAATGTTTTTGATTATTTTGTGAAAATCGGTGCATCTAGCGGTCAGAAGACGTAGTAACATTCACGCTCGTTACGAACAATCAAGAAAGGAATCTATAACAGGCACATAATTGCTTTTCGTGTGTTTTGGTAAGATGAATGCTATTTGGGAATATAGTATTAATGTAATTTGCAAAAATTGGAGCATTTTAGACGACTGAATATTTATACCTATTTATACTTAATCGTTATTCAAAAAATTTAATAAGTTGCGGCAGTAATACGATCTAGCGGCTAGTAGACGAAGTGAAAAAGGTAGCTATTACGACCCAATGAGAAAGAAACCTGCGTCTGCTAAAATTTTAATTTATATTGTGGTATTGGGATCCGTCAAATGGGCATACACCATCTGGTGTCAAAATTTATAACTCGAATGAGGGAAAAATTTACATAGGAACTGTGCACGAAAATTGTAAAATTNTGAAAGTACTAAAAACATCGATTCAGTTGTTTGGATCGAGTCCGATGCTTTCCACGGAAGATGTCGATATCAAGACATCTGATATTATTTCTACCACCCCTGAAAATTATAACAGTAGTGTAATGGCTAAAATGAGAGATGTAAACACTACATTGTCACCTACTGATGAGACCCAAATGTACACTACAACCGGATATAATCCCAAAGTCTCGACTCAATTTGTCCAATCATCAACCCAACCAACTTTTATATCCACAGGCAACAATAATGAAGGCTTGTTTGATTATTCTACCACCAAGAAACCTAAACCTTCCACAATTTCAAATGACTTATTGACTAACAAATACACCAGCAGTCCAACAACTTACACCCAAGCAGAAACTGAAGAACGACAGCGTTCACCTTCTTATGGGACGCATTCAACAAGTGAGGATGAAGCTAGCAAAAGTACCATGACAGAAGAATATCCAAAAAGTTTTGACTATGAGAAAGAGGAGACACCATCAATTACTACACCCGAGTATCAAGACTATCAAAGCAGTACAAGTTTCAATCCAGATGAATCTGTATATAAATCGAGCAGCGAAAGACCACAGTCAACAACTGAGTCTCAATTTTATCCAGACAATACAAGTGAAAACTCGGAGGAACAAAACGAAGTTGAGGGGAACAATGCCTGGATTTGCGTTTCTCAAACCAAATTATTAAACCTTCTGGTTGCTTATGACGAGGAATTGCGGTCAAATCCTTGTGACTGTTGTAGCTCTGAAGACAGACAGAACTATCTGTTGGGTTTTGTGAAATGGTACGACGAGTTATCTAAGTTTGAGCCAAACGAGCTGCAGGAAGACATGCCAAAAGCAGACGATGTAATGTACAGGACAAAGTTTCGCCCCGTTAAAAATAATCGTCGACATTATATGAATATCCCAGAAATTGATGATAAATATGTCGTCAAGAATACGTACAGTGCCAAACCGAGGAATAATTACCACTTTGGCATTCCAAAAACAGGATATGAGACCAAAAGGCGTCCGTTAGAAGAGGTTGCTTATTACCTACGGCCAGGTAAGAAAGGTTATAATTCAAGGAGGACATACAGTTTTGAAAGTTCACCCATTGAAACAGAGGAGTATGATAACAGTGGAATGCGGATAATGGATTATTATGCACCTGAGTTGCAAAAAAATTCTAAAATAAATTGGCATATATTAGATAAGCCAGCAAAGTATAAACCTGTTGGAAAGCCACCGTATTATGAAGAAATTGAATATCCATTAATGTTTGATGGCATTGCAAAATCATCGATATACAGGGATGGTAAACACAATAAGCCCATTTATGGCCAGTATAAAATGGATGTAGATGAAGAACCGATTGGTCAAGGAGATGATGGCGAATTTGTTTCAATTTACGACAAATCAATAAACGAAGAACAGATTCGTAATCCGTTTGCTCAGTACGACCACAGGTTTATTATAATTAAGGACAACGAAAGGAATAGGAAAATATCTGAAGACTTATTGAAAAAAATTCATGGAAGATACAAAGTCCAATACGTAATATTGGACAAAAGCAACCATACCAGGAATGTAGATTTGCACAAGATTTTCGAAGAGAAGAACCAAAAGGAAGAAGGTCTCGAATCCCCTGACTTCACAATCGACCAAAGAATGTACAAAATAGACGATAACGCCATCAGGGATTGGTTCGATAAAAAGTACAATGTGAAGCAGAAACGAAGTAGTAATGGAGGATTGGAGAAGAGCGAGGCCCCAACGGAAAATATCGAGTCTTCAAAACAACCAGAAGAGAATCCGGGAGTCACTGAAGAAAATCCTGTGGGACCTTCTCTCTTCTCGCCTGAACATCAAACGCAATTACGCAGAAGAATCGATCGAAATTCCTATGGACACCTTCAAAACGAATTGCATTTGTCTAAAGATGGCATTTATCATGTTCATTTACCTGACCATGTGGACTCTTCTATTGTAGAAGCTAATCCAAAAAAAATCTTCGTCCCAGATAAAGTCTCAGATTATCTCGTTCAAAACCTCGTAAAAAGAGACGCGCTACAGCCTCACAACCACAGGTTCCACATACCCCATCACCACAAAACCCCGACAAGAAAGCAGCAAAATGTGAAGAAGAATTTGAATTCATTCCAACAGGCTTACCTACAAAACCCGTTTACACAACTTCCACATTTCGGACATAATCCAAAGAGCGAAGCAGACCTCATTGCCGAATTGCAACACAGCGGTGGTATTGGTAAAGCTAGAGGCTGGCATTCGATTCATCAACATGGGGTCTATCCCGACCTGGTTGGACTGCAGATTGTTAGTGATCTTCAGAAGATGCGGAAGTACGAGATGCTGAAAGAGAACGGTAAACCGTTCAAAATTTACAGTCATAAAAGGGAAGTACTCGAAACAACCTCGAAAACTGCTGCCACTCAGCAAATCGAGAGTCATACGGTTCCGAATCGCGAGGTTGTTGAAGAAGTTCATGAACATTCTCAAGAAAAACAACAATCAAATCGTAACAATAATTATAAGTTTTATGAAGTTTACCCCCATTCGAACTACTACTCTTCTATAAAAAAATGATTTGTTTTGTTGGAATTCGATTTTCATGAAGTAAAACACCAAAACAAAAAAAATACTTTAGATTAACAAGATGTTTCCTATGATAGGACTTTTAATTGAGAATGGAATAACGTATTTAATAGTGATTTATAATAATTGATTAAACAAATGAATAAAGGCGTTTTTATTTATTCAACCCTTAAATCATTAAATTGTTTAAGAGAGTGCAGCATGAGTAATATTATAGGGTGCATCTATAATTTTAAGTATTTGCAGTTTCTTTCCTCATTTAATATTGACAAAACCTTTTCTAAATTCACGAATTCTATGTAACAAACGTTCTACAATTGTTCTTCAAACTAAAAGTGGCCCACGCAATCCCTTAAATCCGACTTGGTCTTCCCCTAATATTTCATTTTCCTCTATTCCTATTAGTATGAGTATAGTTACGACTTTTGAAGCAGTCAGAATTTTCCCAGTTTTAGTATTGAAAAACTACTAAGATCGTGTGCATGGGATCTGTCTTAGAACAAATTAAATCGTCAAGCGATGGATCTGATGGTCGATCGGGGTCTTACTATGAGTCACAAGTAAATTTTCTCTATAAAAGAATCACGAAATCCTACAGGAAAGATTTGGACTTTGTAAGCATTGACGCACGTCGCTAGAGGAATATTAAAGAAACTCCGATTAAATTCTGTAAAAATGTGAAATTTACGCTAAAATTGATTTCATCATCATCATAAGGTCGTCAGTCCTAAGACTGGTTGGACACGCACCACCACTATTTCCTATTCTGAGCTAATCTTCGCATTTCCTTAAGGCTAGAACAACCCATATCCTTAACCATTTGGGAACAGTAATCTAATCTAGGTCTACCCCTACCCCTCCTAACTTTCTGTCTCTAATATGTCTCTGACTAGATCTTCATGCCTGAGAAAGTGCCCTTATAACCTACTTCGCCTATTTCTTATTGATTTCCATAGAGTCCTCTGTTCTCTTACTCTTTCTAATACCTCTTCATTTCTAACCTCTATCCACGGTATCCTCTTCATTCTCCTATAACACCACAATTCGAACGCTTCTAGCTTTTTCTTTTCCGCTGCGCCCACTGTCCATGTTTCGCACCTGTACAGCGCTGTGCTCCAAACATTCATTCGCGAGCATAGAAGTGACTTCTTTTTATTAAAGGCGACACGACCCTGCGCTATCCTCTGCTTTATATCCCTACTACTCCTTCCGTCCTGACTTATCTGACTTCCTAGATATCTAAAATCAGCCACTTCTTCTAATTTTTCGTCTCCTATCTTTATATTCGCTCTTTCCCTACTTTTTCTTCCCTTGCATACCAGTATTTTTGTTTTACTTTTATTTATTTTCATACGCTACTGATCTGTTTGTACCGCTTCCATTTTATTTAAAACTATCTTTAACTTCTCCTTGCTAGATGCTAATACTGCTATATCATCTGCAAATCTAAGCATACTAATCTTTTGCCACTCTATATCTATCTCTACAGTTGTACTGTCTGTAATGATTAATTCCTAATATTTACTTCTCTACCAATGAATAATTACAATCTGGGTTATTATTTTGCTTATAAACTTAAATTGACATGGTGAAAAACTACTTTTCGGTATTGAAATTGATTTTTTGGATCGAGGCTAGTCTATTTTGTTCTAAAAAGGTTTCTTCTTATGGTCAGCTTCATCTGTTTGTCATATTGAGTAGTAGTTGAGGACGTACGGAAGTCTTTTGTCTAAAATCTACGTTCCGTTACCATTTGTATTTGGTTATTACTACACATGCATTGGATAGTGATTTTACAAAGTAATAGATAACCAGGTACCCAGCAAAACTACTGCGGTTAGTGGTTTGGTCCCATTCATTAACTACGTTAGGACAGTTCTGGTAACTTTCAACCCTCCCTTACCCC